CTTCAGGGGACACCGACAGATCTTCCTACTTTATCGGGGTTTTGGCTGCAGGATGTTACAGAACGAATATTCAACAGTTGTTCTTTGGGTGTGAAACAGTAGCTGTCCCAGTCTTCTGTGGCTGCCTTTTATTTTTTCCTTTAATTCATTACATCACCTCATTTTCAAAATTAAATCTGCTAAAAGCATAATGATCAAATGCCTTCTAAAAAAAAATCCTCAGCAGTTGGAAATTCTTTAAAGTTTGGCTGGGGCTGCTGAAGGAAAGTAGGTGTGAATTTCAGCATCAAGTATGACACCAGTGCACATTTGATCTCGTGAAGATGACAGCAACTGTCTGTGCAGGGAAGGAGAGAGAAATAAACCTAAAAAAAAAGAAACCAACCAAAAACAATTGCCAAGCCATATGCTTTTCCATAGCCACATTTAGATCCAAAGTGTGATGAAATCACAAGCCTTCCTCATTGGCCATTTATCTGTAGTCTCAAGACGAGGGAGTACCTGATGAGCTCAGCCAGAGCCTTCACTGGCTGCGTTGTGATCGTAGTGGCTTTCTCAGTGTGGATATTTTATCAGAAGACCGAAGCAGCACACAGAACCAAAGCAGCACTCCTCAGCCCACGATCTCACAGCATCGCATGGCTCTCAAGCTCTTCAGAGAGGCTTGCAGAGTATATTCCAAACACCAGGTCCAACCTTTTGGCCTGACTGGAGACGAGCTCAGCAATGTGCTGTTGGCAGAAAAGCATCAGACCCATATTGCAGGAGAGTGACATTCAAACCAGTTGGGGCAAAGCGCTGTTAAAGCAATTTCAGTCCCCCTAGAGTCTGCATCTATTATGGAGGCCATGCAACAGATATATTGAGGACAAAAACAACAATGCTATTTACAGTATTGCTCTAAAAAAATGCATATGCAGAGGTTGACTTCTCAAGAAGTATCATTATATATATATTATATGTTACATAAATATTATATATTTCTCATCAGCCACTAATTCTGATTCTCATGAAAATCTATTTTTCTGGCAGCTCCACATCAGCCAAGTCATTGGTGGCCATTTAGCTTGGCATTAGAGCAAGATGCTTCAATCCTAAAATCACAAAGTGGTTGTTAAGTAGGTAAATAACATGGATTCGTCCAGATTTGATAATGTAAAGCCAAAAATAATGGCACACTGACAGAGACATTTTAATGAACAGCAGACGCTGTGTAGTTAGGAAATTATCTACATATAATTTTTTCCATAGCAATGTAATACCTGAAGGGGTTGGCAGAGAGGCTAAACAAAAGCGAAGACAGAACTAATCAAATAGATTAATTCTAAAGAAGGAAGTGGTAATCACCAAAAAAATTATAGGAAAAAAAAAGGAAGTGTCAGAACAAACAGATGAGTCAAAAATACTGGGTCGAAGAGAATTAAAGCAAAACCAGAAGGAAAAGACAGTGGAACTAAAGGAGTGAAATGAGAAATGAATGCTAAAAAGTTGCTCAACCATATCTGAGTAATACAGCATGCCCTTGCCATTTGCTGTATGTGGAGGTTTATGACATTTTTCTTTCTCTTCCTTTTGTTTGTCAGCAAAAGTTCAGCAAGTGACATGGCTTTTGGAAAGGCTATAAAAAGAAGATAAAAATGTCAACACAGAAATGGAATGACTTCTTAGTGACAGAAAAAGAAAGGAAAATGCGACTGTAGAGAATAATAGAGTGCTTTAAGAAGGTCAGTCTTTTCTACATAATCTTGCCTGAAATAAATGTATAACATGACTCTTAAAAGGAAATACATCTGACATGAATCAGAATAATTTTTTTTTCACACATATGTAATTATCTTGGAGAGCTGATTGTGAGTGGGTATTTCACAGACATGAGTTTTTAAATACATCACCTGTTTGCCTGTCTACCAACAGCTACTGGCACGCTGGCTAAAACAGAATTACAAAGGCTATCGATCCCTGTGCTTCAGAGAGCATTGGAGTTGTTTGGCATGCTGGGGGTGGGAGGAGATGCCAACAAAAGAGCAGAAGGGGTGGAGAACATTCTGTAACACAGCCTCCAACCAAAGCAGCGTTCAGCCTTCTGCTGAGCGAGAGAGGAGGACTGGAGCCAAAATCAAAGATTGAAACAGAAAGAAGAAAAATTTAAAGCAAGAAAGGATAATTCACTTCATAACAGCAGTAGTGTAGGTGGTTGGGAGAAAGTAAAAAAAAAAAAAGAGAAGCTGAAACCAGGAATAATTAATTTGTGATTAACACTGGAACTTATGGGATTTATATTGAAGCACATTTTGCTATACATTTCTTGAAGAACCTTGAGCAAGTGATCTCAAGTGGGCTGAACAGAGGCGTCTGGTAGCCTAAAGACAGGCAGCTCTTTGCACTCCCAGATGTGTCCAACAGCCTCCAGAGCACTGTGGCTGTCGCTTGTGCCATCTCTTTTGGGAACAGTTGCACAGACATTCAGACCAGCTCTAGACTCCCAGATGCAAGAACAGCTCCCTTAGATTGGTTTTTCTCTACATAAAACTGAAACAATAGTATTCGCTCTCTCTTTTCTTGTTCCTGCCTCTTCCATTACAATATGCGACATTTTACTGGCAGATTCAGGCCACATTTGTACAGTCTTGATCTTGGCAGAAGTATCTAGGCATTATAGCGAGACAAATAATAAGGAACAGTGATATGGTTAAAAATAACACAAAAGTAATAATAAGACCATGGAACAGTGAAATGAATTGCATTTCCAGCAGGCAATGGAACGGGCAGGAGAAATACAACCCCTGAGGGAACAGGTACATTCTTTTCTCCACAGCACCAGCTCAGCAATATTATAACTGTGCAATATTTTCCTCCAAATAAAATAATGGAAGCTCATACCAATTCTTTTACCTGAGGAGAATCAGCTGTAGGTTGAATATCCAGGAACAAAAAAAAAAAAAAAAAATGAGGAAGGTGTTTGAATGAATGGAGGAGAAATGTTCAGGGAATAAACAGAATAGAGGGTATTGTTTGGTTGTTTGGTTGTTGTGGGGTTTTTTGTTTGTTTGTTTGTTTTAATTGTATATCAAGATGAACACTTTATGCAAATATTTATGTAGAGAAGAGGTTACACTGGAATAAGGTGTGCAGGTAACAAACTACTCAGGGGATTATAGGAATGGAAGCACTGTGTTACCACATGCTGAAATGCCAAACACTGCTCTTCTTTTTTTTCTCAAAAGATTTCCGTAACACATTGACCTGTACCATAAATAGAGGAACAAAAC